TTGCAATTTTATTGTACCGTTTTCTAATATTTTTTTTTTATATTTCAGTTTTAGAACGTCCTACATCCCAAATGTCATATTTGGAACATTTTTTGAAAGAAACTGCAAGCAGTACACGTCACGGAAGTGCAGATAGTGTAGAAGCTGATATCGAGGATAATCGGGCACCAAGTATTTCCAGCAGTAAAAGCAACTTATCCGAACTTAGTATTGTAAGTATTATTCGTTAGCGCTAATTTCAGTTTAATATAGCATTAAATATTCAATTTATAAAATCGAATGTTTTCTAACATTTAGGATCCAACATCACCATTATCTCATGAGCTTCTAAATAAATCATCAACAGCACATGGACAAGCCAGTCTTCAACCAAAACCAAAATCTCATCAGTTCTTAGTACGAACGTTTTCAGCACCTACAAAATGTAATCATTGTACTTCACTGATGGTGGGTTTAACAAGGCAAGGAGTAGTATGTGAAGTTTGTGGTTTTGCATGTCACATGCCTTGTTGTGATAAAGTTCCACCAATGTGTCCTGTGCCACATGACCAAAGTAAGTTTTATTTTAATAATTATTTAATGCAATTTACTTCAAAGGTTTAATTGTTTAATACATCATAATAATAAACAATCTTTATAGCAAAACGACCATTGGGTATCGATCCCACACGGGGAATAGGTACAGCTTATGAAGGGTATGTTAAAGTGCCAAAAATGGGTGGAGTGAAAAAAGGTTGGGTTCGTCAATTTGTGGTTGTTTGCGACTTCAAATTATTTCTTTATGACATTTCACCAGATCGTAATGCATTACCATCTGTCTATGTGTCTCAAGTCTTAGACATGCGAGACGAAGAATTTACCGTTAGTTCTGTTCGAGATTCGGATGTCATACATGCTACAAAAAAAGACATTCCGTGCATATTTAGGGTAATCCTTAAAATTTTTGTCATTATTAGAATATTACTGTAAATTTCCTTTTTACAACTTATGGTTATTTTAAATTATTTAGATAACAACATCTCTGCTAGAACCACCTGGTTTAAGGAACCACACGTTAATGCTTGCAGACACTGAAAGTGAAAAAACAAAATGGGTAGTTGCTTTAAGTGAACTGCATAGAATACTAAAGAAAAATAATCTTCCTAATACAACGGTAAATTGAATACGTCAGTCTATATATCTGAAAAATAGAATTATACAATTGTATTATGTTTTACCTCACAGATTTTTAGAGCAAAAGAATTGTTAGATAATACATTGGCGCTCATTAAAAATGTGATGTCAGGAGCAATTATTGATCCAGATCGTCTAGTCATTGGCACAGAAGAAGGCCTCTTCTGTTTAGATTTAGATCGTAGTGGTATGTTCTACTATACTTGTGAGCAAAGAATAACGGAATTACATTATAATTAATTTTTTACACTTTTAGAAATTGCAAGAGTGGGGGAGGGCAAGAAAATATATTTACTGGAATATGTAACAGAAGAACAATTAATAGTAGTTTTAAGTGGAAAACAACGTCATGTACGGCTGGTTCCAGTACGTGCATTAGATGGAGACGAAGTTGAATGGATTAAAGTCGCAGAAACTAAAGGATGTATAACTTTAACGACAGGTGTAGTCCCTCGCAGTCCATTAACTTATTGTTTGTGTGTTGCCATAAAGAAACAGGTGACGTTCTTCTCCTTTTTTTTTTTTTTTTTTTTTTTTTTTTTTTTTAATGTAGAATGCATCACAAGTGATTATCTATGAAATTACACGTACGAAAACACGTCATAAACGTATACGTGAATTGATGTTATCATGTCACGCACAAACTTTACAAATTCTCTCTGAGGGTCGTTTTTGTGTCGGATATCCTTCCGGCTTTTCTATCTACAGCATTTTAGGAGACCATCACCCTATTTGTGTGTATAAATATTATCAGATAAATACAAAATCTATTTTATGTGCATATGATATATTAATCTTTTTGTTTTATATATCGTAGCATTGGTCCATTCTGAGAATACGCTCTTAGGTTTTCTCACATACAGTGCTGTGGATGCCTTACGTTGTATCGAATTACCACGTGGTGAATTCTTATTAGTCTTCCATTCATTAGCAGTTTATGTCGACAGCCAAGGCAGAAAGAGTAGAGATCGTGAAATTATGTATCCTGCTGTTCCAACAGCAGTTAGTAAGTATACTTTTAAGGCATGATATATGTAGAACATAAGATTGAAATGTAATTATAACTTCATATTTCAATTATAGGTTATTGTGAAGGTTACTTACTAGTTTATAGTGAGACTCACATTGATGTATTTGATTGTACAACTGGAGACTGGTTGCAAACACTTAATGTAAAACGAGCACGACCACTGAATACTTCAGGTTCTCTAACATCTTGCGTCATTAACGATATGCCACATGTTATTTTTTTGAGCAATTTACATCAACGTTAGTATATTTTATTAATATAATTGTAATAGTTATGTATTATAGAATAATATAGTTATCAGACAATATACATATTTGATTTGATACATTAGGAGAACTACTCAATTTAACACCATTAGATGCAAGCGGTAGACAAATGACAAGACCACGAAGACGATTTTCAATAAGAGAAGGAAATAGAGCTGTTCGTCCTACCGACAGACGTTCCAAAATGATATCTGCTCCGACAAATTTCAATCATATCAGTCACATGGGTCCAGGTAATGGAATACAGGTAGGTTTGCTTTCATTTTGAATCCTACTTTTTGTATTATTAGCATTTTTAAAACATTTTTTATAAATAATACGTTGTATGTTAGATTCAACGATTATTAGACTTGCCTACTACGCTCGAAACAGCTGATCAACAACATAGCGGTCATCACAGTAGTTCTCATCTTCATAGCAGCCAACAACGAGTAAGAACTTAATATATTTTTACATACACTTTTTTGAAGAGTATTGTGACAACTGAAACGTTAATAAAGAAAAATTCTTGCCATTTTCTCAATTTTCTATATGTACTCTACTCTTAGTATTTTCTAATGTTAAACTTTGTTTATACTTGTATACGCCCTCAGTCTGGCATCTTTGCCAGGTTCGAAAATGTGAGACAATTAATTTCATAGTTTGTCAATCGAAAATCTCGAATACCTATTCATATTTACATTTCTGTTCAGTTATATAGTCCAGCGATTCAAACGTCAAGTAAGCCAGCGCCACTGCCGCCTAGACATCCACCTTCTGATTCACGACGTTTAAGTTCTCATATGTCTAGAAATTCGGGGTACTCACCACATAATGGTATATAATCAATCAAGTTGTATTTTATTCTTTCAAAAAATTTTGCTCTAAGTGTCTTACGGCATATATAAATTTTGTTTCTTAGGTTCAACATCATCACGCAGAGGACCGGCACCTTCACGACCAACTGCTACTCCACCTTCATTACCACGTACTCCTGTGGACCAAGTTGATTCGGAATCTGTGCACCTACGGTCGCATACTCCACTGTCTCTGGGTAGCATTGCATCTTTACATGACAAGGTATGTATGTTTTTCACTTTATTAAAAGGATTAAACAAATATAAAAATATATATCCAGAAGATTTAAAATGTTCGAATGGAAAATTCAGTAAAAATATTCTTTTTATAAATACATCAAACTTTCCGTTAATATAGGAACACACCTCTGGTGGAAGTCCTAGACATTCAATAGCTTCAAACAACAGTTCAAATCCATCGACGCCTCCAAGTCCCGCTCATGATCATGGTTCATCTTCATACGATTCATAAAAATTTATTTAACACCTTTCATAATATTAACAAGTTACTGTAATCATGTGCACTACCTGAATAATAGGATTACAGTAGCTATAACGTCTTTACATAAAATGATATTCGTGTTTGATTTTTAGCTGGAAAGTTATGGCATTCTTTTTTTTTTTAATTTTGTGCAATACGTTTTCTTAACCTTGTGCATTACATTAACTGTATTAGAAACATCTAACAAAAAGCATAATACTCGTATGAATTGAGAAGTTACACGTTTTAATTATTTAGTTCAATTTAAAGATTTGCTGAATATATTAAAGTTAATTTTGATACCACATCGCAATAACTTTCTGGTTTTCAAGAACTTATACATCATAAGTTGTATACTTAACACACCAATTTATATTTAATATAATGATAAATTATTGTAAATAATTTATGTGTTTGAAAATCATTGAGCCAGCTTTACGATGCCATATATTACCGAAGTGGGTATCGTTTTTGAGTTTTAATGTGAACATTTTGCATAATTTTAATTCCTAATCATCGCGAACAGCTGCTTCTAAGTTAATAAAAATTGAAATCTCAGTCAAATTATCTAGCAATAAAAAAAAATTAATCTAATTAATCTATCGTACCTACTTTTGAATCTAGGTATAAAAGAATAGTTTCAAGTAAATTATATACTTAATCATTCTTAGTAACAAACGAATTTGGAGGAAGTGAATCAATTTAATGCCTTATGACTAAATATTTTCTATTGCGTCATAATGCAGTAAGGTGCATCATATTATTCAGCGTGTGAATAGTAGAAATAATCGTGCAATGTATTGGAAGCTCCTGCTGATAATAAATAGTTATTAAGCAAGGTGGTTATAAACGTTTACAGGACGTATGAGCATATTTGTGACAGTAACAATACGATGTTGAATATTGATTTATCCTTACTGCAACGAAAACTGTTTTTCCTCTTATAAATGTACTGCTTTCCCCGTAACTAAGGCGTTAAGTATCATTACAAAAACTTTGATTCATTTTTAACAAATACATATATTTAAAATTTGTCAGTCAACAAGTATGTTAGCGTGTACAATGAATAATGACTGAGAATAGTATCGAAAACGGAACGAAGGCGATAAAGCATTGTTTTTATTTTCAATAATGGAATTCTGATATTTTTTTTTTATATTAAAAAAATTAAAAATCAATGAATTATTTTAAAGTTGTGGAAAGGTATATACTTGATAATTAATTAGTTGCGTTCAGTTTTTTTATAGATATAAGACTAGAACAAAAGAAATAAAATTACAACAAAGATGAAAACACGACAAGTTTTATATGTTTTAATGTATAAAATATATACATTTTTCATGTATGTACATTTATAAAAATTTGCTAACTTTACTAAAAGAAAAGAAAAAAGAGTTGGTAGAACAAAATAAATATCTCAGGATTCTATGCCAGTAATTAAAATATGAAATAATATTTAACGGTCAAGAATCCCGAGTTGCTCCATTATTATATAAGAAGTTATGGAGATTGAAGGTATATTCTGTTATCTTCGAATCCATAAACATGTCATGCAGTAACATGGAGAGTTAATAACTACATTGTCGATCCAATTTTTATGTACACGAAAACTGAGTACGTGTAAAAAAATTCTGAATCTAATCTTGCATTTAAATTTTCATATATTTATAACGAATTTTAATGGAAAAAGTTTAAAGAATCTCGAAAAGTTTATGAAATATTGAAAATATTATGGTAAAATATTGATACGCTACATTCCGTGCAATTCTTTTTTATTTTCATAAACCAACATCAAATATTCATGCAAAATCGAAGTTCCAACTCTTGAAAAGATTATCGTTGATAGACGTAAAGTTATTATAATATAACTGTAACGTACGTATAATACCAAAAAAACTTGAAACGTCTTCATCACATTTGTATAATGGTAAGACATGGAAATATAATTATAAATAAAATATATATCGATTGCAATAGGTTTGACATTCTTATATTAAAAATATAGAAAAAACCGTTAATAGAAGAAAAAGTGTTAATGTTATCGAACGAAGAATGTAATAGTACAGGTATTGCTGTCCGTACCGGAATAAAATAAAGTTTAAAAATGAGTTCTAGAGCTATTCTAGAAATGTAATCAAGATATGTTTATAAATTATAGTAATGTATGTGTTGTTGTACTTATCAACGGAATTCAATGATTTGCCTATTATCCGCCATTGTTACTTAAGGGTTCTAAAATCAAAGATGCATCTATTTGTCTTATGTTGCCTTGTATCTGAATCGAGTTTGTCTATAGATAGGACACACGAAGAAATAGTCACTTTGTATAGCATTGATTTTATATTTTTGTAAATAATTCAATTTCTAAATAAGCTCGCAATTTCAACTTGATTTTAGACCCTTTAAATATTCTTTCATTTTACTTTGTTTTTTGGTGTGCACATATACGACATTGAAAATTTTGAGTACATCGTTTATAATATGTAAAAATTGCGCTATAATTATGCTTTCTTTTCACGCATAATCAAAATGTACGACCGGCATTCTGCACGAAAATAGATCGATCATATGTATACATATATAGATTGTATGATTTAATAGTTTACTTTTTTTACCAATTGTTAGACTACTTTATGTAACAATTAATAATGATTTATGTATCCCATTGGTTTAGTACCAGTGCATATAATGACCTGATTATTAATCCTTTTTTTTCTAGCAACTTAGTTTAGTGTATTCTATATTATAAACTTATTTATAACTAATATGTGCATTATTTACCATATTTATTAAAAGCAATTGCAAGCAACTATTTGCATTTTGAGTGATGAATTATATTTCGTTGTAAATTATTCAAAGCGCATTATTGTATTAAGAAAGAAGACCAAACTTTTGTGTTTGTAAGATTTCCTTATAAACATTTCTTTTGTAGATTTTATAATATTTATAATCTTGTCTTACGTTTTGTTTCATACAAAGAAAGAATATACAACTTTTCTGAAATTCATTCTTCACTGAATTAGTAAAAAATAATTTAATTTTTTTGTGTAAAGAAAATATATTAATAAACATAATATTTGAATACAGTATATTTATTGGTTAAAAGTATTGCATGTCAATCACAAGGATTTAAATAAATTGACGGTAAAAAATATAAGCAAAAATGTGTTAAATAATTGGTGCAGTCCATACCTCATAAACTTAAAATGATTTTTCACTTAGAAATTATTACAATCAATAAGACAGAAGAGTAGTTGTTAGAATGTTTATTACTTAAAAAGAAATTATTAACAGTAAGAAGAAAGTCCCTACTGAAACAACAAACTGAATATCATTATAAAAAAGATCATTTAGAAAGTTACACAAGCTTTTGTACTTATACTGTATATTGTGCTTTGTATACTTCATTATTTTATTACGCTATACTCATTTCTATATCGCGTAACTAATTCATTTTATGAAATTGTATCAATACAAGAGTCAATGAGAAATATAAAACATAACATGCTTTGATCTATGAGATATTGATAATGTCTAATTATTTTTAATACTTTTTTCACAAATATAATATATGTATATCAAACAGAAAATTTTCTGATGTATCAAATAGAACCACATAAATTTAAATATAATGATTTTGTTAAATTAACATACTAAATAATTTTACCAATACAAATTAATTAAACATTTGGTTTAATTATATACACAAATTATAGTTGATGCTTTTTCTCAATATTTGTTGTGTAAGATAACAAAAACATTATTTTAGGTATAATTATTATATATCCTAAATTTTCTACAAATAATTCATTGAATGATTTCTCATGTTAACATTGAATATAACATATTTATGATTGGTAATATCTATTTGAGTTGAATGCAACATGTGAGTTCCTAATGTTATTCATTAAAATTGAATTAACAAAAAATTGAATTGGCACTAATTGTTATTCGATTTTTGTATTATATTTTACAAATATGAAATATTCAACAGAATTTGTTTTTACGTATTTATATCATATTCAAATATCTTTATGAATTTTTTTTAACATGTAACATTATAACAGTTGGTGTCAACAACAGTTTTAGCAACATTAGTAATTTTTTGTATACCATGAATATTTGGAAAGAACTCACTGGATTATAAATATGCAAAAGCTTCTGAAATTATAATATTTCTATATTTAATCCTATACCGTGCAAAATTTAAAAGCACCTTTGTGGAGTTTGATGTTTGTATGGTGCAAAATCGTTGACTCAATATTTTAATTACAAAATTATAAATATGTTCCTTATAAAAGTACTTGCGGAAAACATATTTTCATTAAATTATACATGAAAAATAAGTTACATGTAACTTGATTATTTATTACGTATGAATGTCAATATTAAATTCATTTTTCATTTAAATTTCCTAACAATATTAATGGCAGCTGTACAGAGAAGTGTCGCATACATAATATAAATAATTATAATATTTGCGTAAATCAGGTTACTGTATGTTTAGAAAAATATCACTGAACACTTCTAAAATATAATTTGAATGAATAATGTGTGTTTCATAAATATTAATTTTCAAATACACTTCAAAATAAAAGTTATTACGTATATAAAACCTTAGCCACAGGATGTTTCTTAAAAAATTAATATGAGTAACCAATAAATAAATACGTTCCAGTCTCTTTATGCCTTTGATTTATACACAATTACCTATTAATTATATACCTATTAAATTTCGACTGTATAATACAACAAAGAACACACGCGACATTGTATACTGCCGTCCAAAATTTAGGAGACATGTTGCAAGAAAGGCATTCTTTCAGTGTTATTAATCACCAATGGAATTCAGGTGTACAATATCAAATTTGTACCTCGTTTTGACGGTTTTGTTTCTCGGATTCCATGATCCTGGCGATATAGTTACTGTCGTGATAAAGTTCCTTTGCGCATAAACTCTCTAAAAGGTGTAACTCCTACGACTTTTTAGATTTCCACGTTTTGTAAAATTGGCCAAATGTTACAAGGAAGTATCGGAAGATGTACTTTCATGGCTGATTTGATTTAAAGAGTGTTGAAGTGCATCGGGCGTTAACCATTCTTTCGGTAAACAACGTTGAAGAAATGGTACACAAGAACTAAAATATGCAAGACGATTTACCCAACCAGGTATTTCTCGTCCACACAAAATCTGTAATTTAAAACAAAAAATACCTTATAATTATTGTATTAGTAACTAAGTATTAATATGGCTTTACATGTTTATATACTTACAAGTGTAAATTGACTACTAAAATGATTACAATTTTTGTTCATTAAATGGTAACGATCCCCCCTAAAATCTTTTCCTAATTCTGTAACAATTCTGGTTACATCTTCTTCTGTAAAATCTGTATATCCAATGTGTACTGATTGCCTATAAGGAAAAGTAAATTTATTTTTATTTCAAATAAGAATTTATGTTTAAAATGATACACCCACCTATATCTAAATTGCTCCCCTAATTCTTCAGCAATTCTTGGTGTTATTTCAAAAATTCCAGAAATTGGTTTAGTATGACCTCCATATGCATATTCTATGAATTGATAAGTACAATTTAATTATAATACTAATAAATGCAGATGAAATTTTTAATAAACAAAAAATTA